ACCTTTTACTTTCTCTATGTGGGATGTCCTTGATGCCATCCCACAACTCGTCTGGTCTTCAGTGTTCAGTGTGGTTCTACTCTGAGGATGAATAGATGGAACATTCCATTATACTTTTTATTTATGAATTAGGAAATGAAATCGGAAAGTAGGAAATGTGAGCAATCCAGAGGCACATGATTCAAATCCACCTGCAGAGCCATGAGAGAAAGATGGGCAATCTCCTCCCGTGCAGTTCACTACCTCTGAAAACTCGCTAGAGGGGTCAGTGATGAGTCGGTTCCAAGTTGACAGTCCACAACAAAAAAAAACAAGAAGATCACTTGTCATAAGAATGTCAGTTTTCTGTGGCTTGGACCTTGTTGTGATGTTCGATGTAATTTTGCTCTTGATTCAAGTATCAGCAGTGCAACCTATCACAACGAGGTTTCAGCAAGGGTTCCAGACTAAGACAAATGTGGAAGAAAGGCCTGTGGATTTCTGAAAATCACCAGTGAAAAACCTAGAGGTCACAGCAGAGTTGTCTAATTCAGTACTGATAGGTAGGCCCTTGAAGTTGGAAAGCACTCAAACTAGACTCTAGAGATTGGAGCATAGCAACCATCATAAAGATGGCTTAAGACTAAAAAATGTTTCATTTTCTTATAACTAAAGCCACCACTAATTGGAACTAACACAGAGGTAGCTAAGCCACAATATGTAAGAATTTCCTGAAGAAAATACAAGTCATTTAGTAGATCAAATAAGTGAAAATATAAGGATAAAGAAAATAAGGGAGTGAGGAATAACTAGATAGAAACATAATGCAACATATAAATAACTACACTAAATATAAATGCATTTAACATTACAGTTGCAAGGAAGAAATTCTAAGATGGAATAAAAAATACGCCATCTATAAGAAGTTCAGTTTAAACATGAAGACAGAAATAGATTGAATATAAACTTGTGGGGAAAGATCTAGTCAGTAAAGAGTAAGTAAAGAAAATGAAACAACTGTCACTATCTGACAATGAGTATTAAAAGATAAAAAAAAAATTATGCAAACTTGATGAGGCCAAACAGGCTGCTTCAAAAGGAAAATGTCGTAGTCATAAATGTGTGTGCATCTAATCACTTGCCCCGAAATTCAGGAAGAAAAACCCTTGTGGCATATCTCAGCTCTCTTAGCCAGATGGGTTACACCTTAGACAGTGTGGTATTCACATCAAAATTCATATTTTTGGAGTTGTAGTTTTTCCTGTACCATTCCTTGGTAACTGTCATTTATTTCCTTTTCCTTGTGTGAATTCCACCCTAATAATCAGGTAATAATATATGAAAATAAAAGATTGATAAGATTGAGTCTACAATCTAGCTCACTAAATATAAATATTCTGTATATAGTGCTTTACATTTACGTGATACATAGTCTTGATAGAAAATCAGTTGGGTTTGTGATTTTAACTGCTGATTTTTATAAAACATATCCTGTGCTCATTGTGCTGGCAAACGTTTAGAATCTGGCAATGTTTTTCGTTTCTGGGCTTTACCTCAGTAAGTTGCTTTGTTTTCTTTTCCACTTTGCCTCACTTTCTTAGATCCAGGTGTATAAAAATGAGACACAGGGTATTACCAGCTCTGGCTTTTCAGCTTTGACATTTGAAGGAACCTTGGGAGCTCCTGTCATACCTCGTACTTCGAACAAGGTTTTCACTTTCACCTCCGAGGACCACAAAAGAGTGGAAGCCTTACGTGAGTGGGCCTCTCACCACATCTCGCCTTCTTCAGCATTGCTACAGCTGTGTGAGGTTCAGCCTATGCAGTACTTTGACCTGACCTGTCAGCTTTTGGGGAAGGCAGGAGTGGATGGAACATCGTTTCTGCTGAAGGTAGATATTTTTTAACACTTATTGTTGTACGTTGCAGTTGTTAACCTATATGTCTAACAGAGTTTTTATTTCAGGGTTCTGATAGATGAAATTCACAAGCAGTGTTTTATGTTAAGAACCTAATATTCAATCTTTACTTTTTTCATGAGCCTTGATAATCATCCAGCTCCCTTCTCGCTTCTTCACGTTCTCTTTCTAGAAGTAAATAATATTATCAGGTCTGTATTCTAAATGCAAGGTAGTGTACTGTGTTACCTACGCGGCCGCTAACTGAAGGTCATTTGTTCAAATCCACCGGCTGAAAGATGAAGAGCATCCACCTCCTGTAAAGATGTCTCGTCCTGTCAGGATTCAGAGACTGGGAACTGGAGGGAGTGTCACACTCAGTCTGAATCTACTCGGAGACTTATTTTGGTTTATACTCTAAATACAGCATAGTTTATGATTTTTTAAAAATAAAGTCCTGAATTGTTTTCTGCTGTGGTGTTTTAGTTGTAGTTCTGTGTGTTTCTTGCTGTTTCTCTCATATACCTTCTAGGTTAGTTGAGTTTCTTCCCTCATCCCTTGACTGCCTGCGTCATGGGTATATTACAGGCAGTTGTAAGATGTTTGTCATTACTCATTTTCTCTGTATATTACCAAGATAAAGTAAGAGGTAAACTCATCTGCTTGTATCCACAGCCTCAATAGCTCATCAGTAAGGTCTAGAGAAGACAGTTGTCGTGTATTCTGCCCACTCCCATTGTAGGAGGCTGCGTTGACATGATCACAGCTTTACTCTGCTCCCCTGAGTCTTTTCAGCAGTGGAACAAGAAGGGAATAAGGTCACCTACACAGAAGTTGCCATTTACCACTTGGTCATAGCAAGTAACAGTGAAAGAAATCTTTGAATAAAGTATGTTCTTTGAAGTTGAAAATACCGCATATACATGAAAGCTTTGAAAGAGTGATTGTTTAGTATAAAGGAAAGTATGACAGAACAGCAGCTAAAGCAGGATCAGATCCCGCAAATAAAGAACTCTCAGCCAATCTACTCAGCCCTGCCCCTCAGGGTGACATCCTGTGACATCGTCCCAAACGAATGCGTGCTGACTGCAGAGAACAACACGTGACAGCACAGAAAGTGACGCTCCAACTTTTGACTACTGCGATTTTGAAGTATCTTAAATTTTGAAATAATGTTTGCAACCTTTTATCTGACACAGTTGAATGTATGTCTTCTCTCTCTGAAGCAGCGCAACACGTGTCTAGATCCTGTTTTTATAGATAGCCTTTTAAGATAAGGAAAACCACTTTCATGTTACTGTTAGTTAAATACAGCATTCTGAAGTAAATGTAAAAAATTAAATTAGTAAGGACTTGTTTCACCATGGCTTCACAATAACTTTCAGAAGTCGCTATAAAACATTTGTTAAGCCTCTTTTCATAAATTTGTTTGAAGGAAACATTTATAATGCATCTAAAAATACAGTTACAAGAATATTTATCCTTACTTGCAAGATAGTATTATTTTTTTGGAAAAAAGCCAGATACTACTAATAAAGAGGTAATAGAATGAACTGTTAGTGTTACTATGTAATGGAATATTTTGATGATGAAAAGCATTGTGTGAATGTCCTGATGGAGATAAATGTTCACAATATTCTATTTAGTGACAAGCAGAGTTTCAGAAATAAACTAAAAATGTACATAGATAGCATAGCGAAAGTCTATCTAGGAAAAGAAATAGTTATATTTTATAGTGTTTTATATAGGAGATAGAGTTATGAATGATATTGTTTTCTCTGACATGAATATTCCTAATGGAAAAATCTAGAGTTAAGAACCTTTCCAAATTATTGAGGAGTAGTGATGTCAGTTCGAATACTAAGGTGCATCAGACTGTAGTCTTTCCAACTACTAGCTATGCTTCCAAGAGCTGGACAGTGAATAAGGATGACAGAAAAAGAATCGATGCCTTTCATTTGTGGTGTTGGAGAGGAGCACTGAATATCCCATGGACGGCCAAGAGGACAAAAAGATGTCTTGGAGAAGGTGCAGCCAGAATGTCCTTTGGAGGCAAGAATGATGAGGCTTTGCCTCACATACTTTGAACATGTTCCTTGGAGAAGGACATGATGTTGGGAAGAGTGGAGGATCAGCAAAGGAAAGACCATCAACCAGGTGGATTGATGCTGTGACTGCTGCAGTGGCTCTTGTGTGTCAGGAAGCGTGAGGATGGCACAGGACAGAACAGGGTTCAGAGCTTTTGTTCATACGGTTGCTATGAGTCGTGCTCAACTCGATGGCACCTAACAACAACAATATGACTAAAATAATGTCTTAAAACTTTTAAAAACAAAAGAAGCCAATCATTATCCAACCAGTTCTGTCCAGAATGGACTTTGGCATAATTATTTCCTGTCTCAGTATGGACACAAAGCTAATATTAACCCCCTTTTTAGTAACCACACTCATTTTAACTTTAATAGTCTCCATTTTGTACTAGTGATTTACATTAAAATTTACTAAATATATATACTTAACTAACATTAATCTAGATTTTCTCTATTTCCCAATATTTGTGTAATTTATCTTCTGAACAGTATATTCTTGAATTGATTTTAAGTACAGATATTACACTGCTTGACTATCCAAAGTATTGGCACAGCCTCATCTGTCTGTTGTGCTTTTGTAATCAGCAATAGATCATTCATACCTAGAGCTGGCGCATAGTTGTGTATCTAATGTGTTTGGAGATCAAAAAGACATCATATTCTGAAAAGCTTTCATTGCCATTTATTATTAAGTCAGAGCCAGTTCATATATGACCCTTCAGTGAGTTTTCCAAGGTTGTAAATTGTACAGGAGGAGATTGTCCCATTTATTCCTGGAGCTACTGGTGGGTTTGAACCAGCTGCCTTTAGTTTAACAGTGCAACTCTGTGATCTATGCGATTAGAACTCATTCATTACCTTGTTTTAAAGGGACTAATTCAAATTTGTACCTCTTACTTTCTCATATGAGCAAAGGTCAAGTTATTTTAGAATTTGTCTTAAGAAACTTAAAGAAATTCAGAGGTTGATGTACAATAATAATATTTACTGAATTATTTATAATAGCAAGAATATTTAAAGAACTTATCTGACCAGAAAAGCAATAACTAACTTCAGGTATATCTATACTATAAAGTAATAGTAAGCCATTGAAAATCACCTTTTAGGAAAATACTTCAAGGGCCTATTAAAGTCTTCTGCAGTAAACTAAGATGTGAAATGCTAAATATGCAAGTTTGTTTAAATGTATAACTACAGATCCGTAAATATACTATATAGAGCCACAGAAGAAAAAGAGGAAGTGAGTGCAGTGGTGGGCTCCCATTTTTACAGGATCAGAGCAACGTGAACCTTTATTTTCTTCTTTATGTTCTTCATCATTTTCTACATTACTCATAGTTTTAAGTGGGTTTTTTTATAACCAGAAAATAATACATGTTGTATTTACTGTGCTGCCAATGATTACGTTTTGGGTATACTTATTTGAATTTCTTTTAGCACACGTCTCTCTTTTATCTTCAGCCGTTTTCTAAGAAGCTTGCTCTGTCTGTTCTGCCACACTTGACAGGTATGGGATGGCACTAGGACGCCCTTTCCATCTTGGAGGGTCTTGCTAGAAGGCGCTGCTCTCGAAGGTGATTTAAGTCAAATCCGTCGGCTGAAGAACCTGGCAGTAGACGTTGTGGTTTATGATAACCACGTTCACGTGGCAAAGACTCTGAAGGTGAGGTTGAGTAGCAAATATATCTCTTACTGACCGTTTTTAGAAATTTGGAGATAAATCACATTTATAAATGGTACTGGGAACCAAATTTATTTCTTTCTTTGTTCTTGAACGTATAAGATATGTGCTTAAAAGAAATTACTGAGATGTATTAATTAATAATGTTTGGAACACTTGTTTAATGAACATTTTCTATCTTCAAATTATGTATAGGTCTGTTGTTGTTGTTGTATACTGTCAAGTTGGAACTGATCCATAGGTGACCCTCCGGCAGGTTTTCCAAGGCAGTTAATTGCACAGGAGGAGATTGTCCATCCTTCTTCCATATACATAGGTCTACTACCCAAAAAAAGAAAATTTAGTGGTGTGTGTGTGTGGGGGGAGGTGTGTGTATGTATAAATATATATACACACATACATGTATATGTACATACATACATATATGTTGTTGTTGATAGCCGTCAAGTCAAGCACAACTCATAGTGACCCTATGAACAAAAGACCTGAGGCCTTTCTAGAACTATTTTTCTCAAAATCTATTGTTTCCAGAGGCATGCTGCTTAAGAAGTGGATGCCACTCCTGCTCCCAGTATGTGTGTGTGTGTGTGTGTGTGTGTGTGTGTGTATGACAAATATTATGTAAAATACCATAAGCACTTGTATATACTGATGTGTCAAAGAAAATTGTTTAAAATATATTTTTCTGTGTTTCCTTTAAAAGATTCTGTCAGAATTGATTTTTTAAAAAAATTAAAATGACAAATTCTAAAGGTTTTTAAAGACAGAGATTCCCCTCACTCCTGCACTCTTTATACCTATTTTCGTCTTTCCCTGCTGCTGCTTCCCTGTGTTGACCCTGGAGGTTTTTGTCTTCTCCTTCTTTCCTGTTGTCTGTGTCCAATTCCTGAACAGCATCTGGTGCTTGCCATATAATAAGGACAAAATAAATTCTATCTACTACTGAAGAAATCAGTCCATGAATACCAGAAGTTCTTTTAATGTTGGGGCTTTTCTCCCTAAAAAGTGTCTGCCATATCTTGTCCACTAGAGGGTGAAGTGGTAACACATAATTAAAATGTCTGACATTTTAATTATCTTTAAAGACATCATTGTCTGGCCTTATATCATTTATCTGCAATACAGCAATGAACTAAAAAGGATTCTCTGTAAGTGATATTAATACAACTATTATTTAGTGTATATTGACCTCATTTATTTGTTCTCGGATAACCTCAGTAACATTTTAAGTAATTCTCATATACTTTAAGATGGTGTTGGTAAGAAATACATAATTGCCAGCATGTGAAAGTAACTGTTTAAAGAGTACCAAAATACATGTAACCAATTCAAGTGATTTATATTATATAGAAGCAGGCGGGAGGGTGGGAAGTACTTCTTAAAATAAGTAGACTAATAATATATAGCATCAACTTACAGATACTACACTTTGCAGCCTAAATTGAGTTTAACATTTCTCAAGTCTTACTTTTAAAGTAACTTGTGTTATTTCTAAGCATTTCACACAGACACAAATACACATAGAAACATTTCTCAGGCTTTCTCAAGGAACTAAACCGCTTTTTTAAAAGCTCCAATTTTATCTTGGCACAATTCAAAAAGTAATCTTAAAACACACCATAGTCAGGTGCTCTGTTGGAGAAGGAGGGACAATCTCCTCCTGTACCAGTCAGATCCAATTTGACCACACATACACACATACACACACACACACACACACACATATAGTGATGTTTGGGCTTTCATTGACTTAAGAGTTGTAGTTTGATTTGTCATCTTGAGATACACAGAAAATTAAAAATAATAAACTTAAAAGGAAATTCTTCTTCATAGTTTATAGGGACTGTTTTGATTCTTTCTGAAGGGATAGTATTTCTTACTAGTTGTATTTCCTTTATTTTGTTTTCACCATTTCTATATTGAAATGGATCTTTAAACGGTGTTTCTTTATTCCTTTGGTTATGATTCCCTTGTCTGTGTATTTGGTATCTTAAGATATTCCCAGCATGTGGTAGGTGTCGAGTGCAATAGAACAGCTGGCAATTTCATGCTGTAGTCTAACTTTAAAAAATACAATGCTGCCTCCAGAAGGAATTTCTGGAAATAGCAGTTTATGATTGTTACATTCCACTTGAATATATACTATTTGGGCCTTTGAAAATTTTCATTATCATCATTTAAGTATAGTAGTAGGGGAAAATTGGAAGCAGGAGTGGCATCCACTTCCAAAACAACATACCTCTCTGGAAACTCTATGAACATTGAGAAACAGTGATAGTTATAGAAAGACTTCAGGTCTTTTGTTCATAAGGTCACTCTGAGTCATGCTTGACTCAACAGCAATCAATAACAATAACAGTAGGGGAAATAGTATGATCAGCAACCATGTGCCTGCATGCAAACTTAACATTTCTCATTTTTATTATTTCTAAACTTCTGCTTTTTATCCCAATATGGAAGTATATGTACCATATTTATTACATTTTTTATTTTATATACTTTTTCCTGAAAAAAAAATAGTGTGCACATTTCTCTGCAGAAATATGTGAAAATGTATTTGCTTTTCTCATTAACAAGTTTTTTGGCATTCTTGCTGCTTTTTAAAAATTTTTTTATTATTTTAACATTTTTTTAAAGATTTATCTGAGGTGATACTCATGTCTGTGTTAATACTGTACAGTCTTAATTATTTTTAAATAATAATTTAAAAGAGTAAGCCCCACCTTATGGCTCAGATTTTACTTGACTCTTCACTATTAGCAATCTTAGTGTCACATTTCCAAATTCTATCAGAGACACGAAGATTTGTTTAAAATGGAGTTAAATATTAATTCTAGGAATATTTTAATTTTTTTAAAATCCATTATTCTCACATTATGAGGTGAGGGTGTTTGGGTGACCATATTTCACTAAATCTTAGCCTAGCTTGTTTTCAAAAACCCTTGGTGGTGGTTCTATACCGTTGTGTCAGAATCAACTTATAGGTGGACCTTCAGTGGGTTTTCAGAGACAGTATATCACAGAGGAAGAAATTACCTATCTTTTCTTCCAGGGAGTGTCTGGTGGATTCAGATCACATACCTTTGAGTTGGCAGCACACATCAGCTATAGTTCTGTTCCAACTCCGTATACTATGTGAAACAATGTACCTAACAGGGGCCAACAACAAAAAGCCACAAGAGTTTTTATTTGGGGAAGCAGGAGTGGCATCCACTTCCTAAACAACATACCTCTGGAAACTATGAGCTTTGATAAATGACAGTAGTTCTAGAAAGGCTTCAGGCCCTTTGTTGATAGGGTCACTATGAGTTATGCTGGACTTGACTGGCCATCAGCAACAACAACAAAGTTAGGTTGAGGAAGCTCTGGTTGTTTACTGGTAAAGAACTGCACTATTGCCCAAGGCAGTGCAGTTTGAACAGAACCAGCTGCTCTGTAGGAGGCTGGCTAGTCTCCTCCCTTGTGATATAAGGCCCTGAACTCCTGCTGGAGGATCAGTTAAGGGTCAGTTCCAACTCAATGGTAATTAGCAATAATACTGATACTGATGATGCCAAGAGGAAATACTATTTTATTTTTTTATATTTTATTATCTGTGAAATAGGAATATATCTAAAAACTGAAAGACTATATAGAGAGAGAGATAGGTAGGTATTGACATTTTCATTTTGCTGTTGTGCTTGGAGGGCTGATGTACGATGATTGGGCATTGTTCCTGCTGTATGGGTTGTTAAATATTGACTATCAGAAGATGTTTGTTTTCCCTAGTTTCTAAATACATATATTCATTTATTTTTTTAGATTGGAAGCTTTCTTCGGATTTATAGCCTCCATACAAAACTTCAGTCAGTGAATTCTGAGACTCAGTCAACATCATTAAACCTAGAGTTTCATCTCCATGGAGGTACCAGTTATGGTCGGGGAATCAGAGTCTTGCCGGAAAGTAACTCTGATGTGGACAAACTGAAAAAGTAAGCGTGTCGTGTACCTGTTTGGAAAATGTAAATGAGATGGAGGTGTAGTCCGTAGGGGTTGCACTGCCCACCCAGATGCTCTGGTAATTCAAAGCCACGGAGGGCTTTGGCATGAGGACAATGCATTATGTAATTTACCACCTCGGAAACAGTGCTATGAGTTTGTTCTAAGGCAGCCACAATGAGAGAGAAATAAGTTGGGTTTAAGATACTGAGTGGGGAGTGGCTCACAGGTCCTTTATCATTTATATATCCTCTTTTTTATCTCTGTATTTCAATAGATGGGCCAGATTAGACAGAAATCACGTGATTGTTGGTTTAGAAAATAGCAGAGCCAAGATTATAGTATAAGTTCTGTAGTACTTGGTGTCTCCTTTATTTAACTCATGTTTTTTCCTTCTCATTTTACCACACCAGCAAAAATAGAAAGTAGAGTATAGCTGATGTTTGGAAAACTTAATACATATATTAAATTCCAAAAATATTCTATCCTTCATTTTGCATATATAAATATATATATATATATATATATATATATACACACACATACAGAGAGACAGAGAGAAGGAGAAGTTGTTTTGTACTGTCAAGTTAGAACGAACCCATCGCAGACCCTGCACTATGTTTTCAGAGGCAATAAATCACATGGGAGGACATTGCCCATCCTTCTCCCAAGGAGCAGCTTATGGATTCAAATCGTCTACCTTTGCACTGGTAGTACAGTTCCTTACCACTAAGCCACCAGAACTTTATATATATGAAAGGTGAAATATTTTTAGAATCTTAACTGTGTATTAAAATTATACATCTATCAATTTATAATCTTTGCCAAATACCTAAAACCAAATACATGGGTAGCAAGTGTTACAGGATATCACATTTTTCAGACTTTCAGATGTGTCCTGAAAGTCAAATAGATAGTGTCTTAAACCCTGCTATATATAATCCCTTCCCTGGTATTCCTAGTAGACATTATATAGAAACGAGTCTAGAGAAAGAAAAAACAAAGATTCTGTAAATCTTCCAAGAGATACAGTTTACCAAATTGAAATGAAACATTGAAATAATCTTTTATTTTTATAGTCTTAGCCTAGTTTTATTGCTTTTTCTATCTCATACTACAATATGTTGCAGTTTACTGTTTTACTTCCTTGAATGTACAATAAGATTGTTCTGACTTAGAACATCATCCATTAAATTCCCAGCTCATTATTGTTTATAGTAATTCATCATTGCACTCCCTGGTGACACAGAAGAACTAAATACACTGTTCTAGCTAAAGGGTTGGTGGTTTAGACTCACTCAGTGACTTCATGGTAGAGAGATCTAGCAATCTGCTTTAGAACACAGCCTAGAAGGTCCTGTGAGGCAGTTCTATTCTACGTTACCACATATGGTCACACGGCATCAGAATCAACTTGACAGCACCCAGCAACAGCAAGCAACTTGCTAGACTTTGTTTGCTTGCTTGTCTTTACCTTTTGAGAAGCCTTGGACCTCCCAAAAAGCCATGGAAATAAAATGACAAGCTCTAGACCCTCAACTGAAGAACAAATAAAATGTATATACCATCTTAGTTCTTGGATTCTGTTAGTAGAGATGAACTGACTGTATTAATTCTATTTTATGCATAATTTAAAAATATATTCTTTAAATTATAGGGTTTTAGAATCTGTAGATTTGACAGCTACTCAGCATTTAAATCCTGTCTGTGAATCACAGTGTGAGGACAGCATTCAATCCATGTCAAGTAAGGACAAGTTTTAACATTTCCAGTTTTGTCCCTGCTAAGTAAAATGACTTTATCACTTTAGCATTATCTTTGATTTTTTATTTTGTTTGCTTATTTATTTACTAAGTCTAATTTTTTAGCAGAAAAACTTAAGTCTGCATCTATGTCCTGTGCAGAAGTTATCATGACTACTTGTTAATTATAGAATTACATTTTCAAGTTGGAGTGATAGTGATTTCTTGATTTGTTTTATAAGTAGCATTTATTAATCAATTTGTCTGTATACATAGATTCAATAGATATATAGATGTGTGTGTATTTGTATATATAGTTGTGTATTTACTTACGAAAACTCAATAGTAATCTTGTTCTTGTTGTTGTGTGCTGTCGGGTTGCTTGTGACTCATAGTGACCCTATGTACAACAGCCCTAAACTGCTCTGTCCTGTGCCAGTCACACTATCTCTGACACTCCCATCCCGATTACCCCAGTCACTGAATCAGTCTGCCTCATAGAGGGCCTTCCCCTCCTGTGCCATCCTTCCACCCTCCCGAGCATGATGTCCTTCTCCAAGGACCGGTCTCCTTACAGCATGTCCAAAGTATGTTAGACGGAGCCTCAGAATCCTTGCCTCCAAGGAGCCACCCGGTTTAACCCTTTCCAGATGAATCTGTTTGTTTCCCTAGCACTTCATGGTACCCTCAATACTCTTCTCCAGCACCACAGCTCAAAGGCATCAATTCTCCTTCTATCCTCCTTGGTCATTGTCCAACTCTCTGATGCAT